GGCTCAGGGGAGACCTTATGGCCCTCTGCGACTACCTAGAAGGAGGCTGTAGTCAGGTGGGGGTTGGTCTCTTCTCCCAGGCAACCAGCAGTAGGACAAGAGGGCACAGACTCAAGCTCTGCAAGGGGAGGGTTAGGTTGGATATTAGGAAGAGATTTTTTTACCAGAGGGAGTGATCAGACATTGGAATGTGCTGCCCAGGGAGGTGGTAGATTCACCATCCCCGGAGGTTTTGAAGATGAGACTGGATGTGGCACTTAGTGCCATGGTCTAGTAACCATGGTAGGGTCAGACTTGATGATCTTGGAGGGCTTATGATTCTATGATTCTGTGTTATGTGACAATACTGTGCCTGTACTCATGTACTTATTTAAGCCAGGAGCACAAGACGCTAGCTACTAATAGTTTACTTCCCAGACTAAGTTGCTGACTGCCTGTTATCTTGTTGCCTGCGCAAAAGCAGCTGCAACATTGTCCTAAAACACCACCAGCAAGATCAGCTTTTGGAAGCTTTCTAACTAATATTCTACATTATTATAGAGCACATTTTCTCCCAACTCTTGAGAATACTTTATGAGCATAGAATGCTTTAGAGCATTTAGGGGATGAGACTTTTGTATGCAGCAAAGAAAAAAGGGGGCAAAATGTCATTAAATAACCTGGCTGGAGCTATGTCTTTGCTGGACAGTTTCATTTCCTAAGACCATATAGTCTGAGGGAAATTGCAGTAGTGTGAGGTGACGTGACTTCCTGTGTAGAGAGTGCATCTCCCCTGGGGAATAGTGCAGCAGCTGGATGCCTGTCTTTGTGCAGTACGTGATGAGACATCACCACTGCGCACAGAGAGTTTATGCAAGTTTTGGGTAGGATTTCCAGTTTCCTTTTCTTTAGTCCGATACTTTATGTGAACTTTAAAAAGCAGTGCACTTCAAAAATTTCCCTGCCATGTTCCTATCAGTAGTATGGATTAAAAAGAAAATAATAGAGTATTGCACCTCTTTTTATAGAATTTAAGGGTTTACTGTAGAAGCCGGTCTTAATACAATAGATGAGGTACTAAAGCAAGAGGTATGAGACAGTGCATCACAGGATTCATTGTCACAGTCATTTATTTAGCTATGATCGCAGATGGAAGTTCTGTCTGGGTGGAGTGAAAACTGAGTTCTGCATCCAAATTCTGGTTTGCATAGAAAACAGCATTTGCACAGAATTCCTGTGATGGAAAAGTCTGAATTTGACTATCTTATTGATCATTAAACAGCTGAGAAATTAAGGGTGAGTGAAGCTGGACTAGACTGTAGCTTTGTTTTAAATCCTCCTGATTTCATGCTTCTTTAAATGATGGTGGTATGACAGATGAAAAGACTTTCCTTTCTTCTTCCCTCCTCCCCTCAATGCCTCTGCATCATTATTCCACAGCTGTTCAAAGCACTGCTTTATCATCAGGACTATTTCTGACTCAGATTTATCGAGGAATATGCCTGGTGCTCTTGTTCTAGCAGTTAAAGACTTAAGAGATGGTACAGATAGAAACACTCTTCTTTTACTGTGCCATCACATGGGCAGGATTAAAGAGCTTACTGTGACTGGTTGGGCCATGCCCTTCCTCTCCTAGCTCATGAGTATGTATATCAAAAGTCTGGTAAGATTAAGTAAAGACTTTAACAGTGTGAGTAGGGCTCTATCTGAAAAGAGCACTGGCAATGCCTCATGTTTATCTCTGCACCAAATATTTGTATCTGTATTGCTACATAATGTTTGCAAAGAATAATAGGGGCAAGGCACAGAAGGATGGTGGTGATCACTAGGAATGGTGATTTTTGACTCTCGGATTGTTAGCCATAATCAGAGCCAATGAAAGCTCCATGCAGCTGGGAGTAACTTTGAAAAATTACTTGAGCAGCATGTGTAATGTAGCAGCATGCTGTCTTGGTGAACTCCATGTACTTGGCTTCAATATAGATTTTAGAATTATTTATAAACATCTGTTCTCAATTTGCTAGGAAGATTGCTGACTGGGTGTGCACTCCCATTTGCAAGACACAGTGAAACAATTTTGACTTAAAGAGAAATATCCAAAATTGTATTGGGTAATGAAAATAATGAGAAACATTGAAAACAAACTTTATGTAAATTTACTTTATTGTTGACACTTTTTTTTTAATAAAAAATTTTCTGCATTAGCCTAAGTGAGGATGTTCATATTAGCACCTTGACTTTCACAGGTTACAGCAGCAGATACAAGGATACATATTATGCTGGTGTTGCAGAGGGCTGCTGTTAGGCAAAATTGTAGGTTTAGGTACCTTAAGTTGTTCAGTAGAGAGCAGAAGCTCTAATGGTTGAAGGCTTTGACATTCTTCTTTACAATTTCTGATGGAGCAGCATGGGTTCTTAGTGCTCTTCTCATTGCACTTTTGATCTCTCAGCAGATGTGTCCTCAATCCTTTTTGCCTAAGATAGTGTTCTCTGAAGACTAGCAACACTTAGAATATGCCCTGCATTGTTTGTTTCTTTGTTTTCATGGCCAAGGCCAGTCACTCAGGAGGTGCAAGAATGGCAGCTTCTCAAAGATATCTCTGCCAAGGCCCCCTATAAACAGGAGGCAGAGATACTGTACAATATACTGTTAATGGAAAGGAAAAGATAAATCTGACTAACTGAAGTTTTCCCCTTAAAAATCTTGAGATTTCATGACCAAGAAAATACTTGTGTTAGATTTGTCTCAGGATTGTACATAAACTGCTGGTGTGGTGATTGCACAGGTGTGCCATTAGATGGCCAAAGTGTCCCAGGTAAAAGTGGAGGGAGGTAGTTTGGTAAATGCTACCTTACTTACAGGTTATCATAGGCATGGGTCACATCCTGGGAAGTGACAGCAGTAGTGACTGTTGTCATGCATCGTGCTACGCTCGCTACAGGTGTGCTTTGGTGAGGTTTTGTGATTTTTGGTTGTGTTGTAAGCAGAGTGTGAAGATGCTCTCCATCACAGTAAGCAGTAAGCCAGGCTGGATGAAGCCTTGAGCAACCTGATCTAGTGAGGATGTGTCTCTGTCCATGGCAGGGGGGGTTGGGACTAGATACCTATAAGGTCCATTCCAACCCCTAAATTCTATGATTCTATGGTTCTAAAATAAACATGCAACTTTAAAAAAGTCAATTCCTTTGTTCTCCAAGTGCCTGTTATTTGAGAGGGTGGAGAAGTATGGCAAATTTTAGAAAGTATAAAATAAACAACTGCCTCCTTTCTTTCCACTCACTGCTTCCTCCAGCTCCCTGTACCTTCTTGCACTTCTGTACTCTGTGTCTGAACTCCTTTCAGTGAGATCCAGCAAGCCATGAAAATGTCCCTCGCAGGGGCCTTGATCTTCCCATAATTCTTTTCCACTGGCTCGTTCTTCTACATCTTGCAGAGCGTCCGTTGTCTCTCTGGAGTTGCAGTAGATTTCCATGTTGGCTGCAGAAATGATTCGTCTTAGGAACAGCAAATGGTATGAATTTCCTTTAGGCTGCCTATGTTTTATAAACTGCTGCAGCAGCTTTGTTTCTGTCAGGTCTCTCTTGTAGCTCCCCATTACAGTCCCATCACTGCATTCTGTACTTGTGTCACTGTTATGTTACTGGGTCTGCATTTCTCTAAAGATTTCTGTGACTGATCCAGGTCTTTCCAGGGACATGCACCATCAAATGGTCTTTCTACAACTTTCTTTGTACAGGTAACTTGTTTTCATGTAAAGTAATTTAGGAGAGGCATTTCCCAAATATAGCGTATGTGTTTTTTAAGAAGTGGGGAAGGAGAGAGGACGGGGAAACTAAATGTTAGGACCACAGTGACTTCTGGGCAACGGAAGGCAAATGTGTTACTAGAGAAGTATGCTTTGTAGTTATTTTATTGGTACGAAGAATGCACCTTTCATACCTGTGGAGCAGAGCTCCCATTCCTAAGGATGATGGGTTGTTTTATCATTCAAATGTGAACTGTTGCACATGTGTGTAAGACTGTATTGACGAATACAGGCTTTGCTGAGAGAGCTTTTGTAGTGTTTGCACCCTGGAGTTAAGGTCAGAACATCTAGAACAGCTGTGAGTCTGCTTTGCCTCCTTGGCTTTAGATAGTAAACTGTGCTTTCTTTCCCAGAGTTCTCTGGTTTGTACCTAAATGAAGCACGACATAAACGCGTTTACCGGGGAGGTCGAATGTAGGGCAAATGGCAGGTAAAGGGTGTTTTGATTGTGCTCCCTGGTCTCTGGCAGTAAGCTGCAGCAGAAGGGAGGGGGTCTCCATTTGTACTATCATGTGCTCCTGCTGTTTCTCTTGCTTTGGCTTAGCAACTGTGTGACTGCTGTGCTAAGTGCTCTGGAAGGCCTTGCTGGTCCTGTGACACCTTAATGACTTGTTTTGGTGGTTTTTTTTCTGTTCACAGCAGATCTGAGTCATTGCATGAGTGTGGGATTGCTAGAAAGTGGCAACACATGTGGGTGGTTGGAGCAGCAATGAGAAATTGGGTCTCGCAGCAACAGTCTGCAGTTAAAAGTCTGAGTGCTGTGAATCTGCACCCAGAGCAAGGAGATATTTTAGTTGTATCCCTGGTGGGCTTTATTCTTGTGTGGGACTTGAACAAAGCTGTTTGTTTGCTGCACAGAACACTTTTTTTCCAGCATAGTGAGGAATTCTTGACACCCTGTGGTAAAAGGTAATTTTGTGTTCATAGAATCATAGAATTCAAGGGTTGGAATGGCCCTTATAGATAATCTAGTTCTAACCCCCTCTGCCATGGGCAGGGACACCTCCTCACTAGATCAGGTTGCTCAAGATCTCATACAGCCTGGCCTTGAACACCACCAGGGTTGGGGCAGCCACCATGTCCCTGGGGCAACCTGTTCCAGTGTCTCACCACGCTTATAGTAACAAACTTTTTTCTCACATCCAACCTAGACTTTCCCTCCTTCAGTTTGAACCCATTACTCCTTGTCGTGTCACTGCAGTTCCTAACAAAGAGTCCCTCTCTGGCTCCCTTGTAGGCCCTTCAGATATTGAAAAGTTGCTATGAGTTCTCCACACAGTCTTCTCCAGGCTTAACAGCCCCAGCTTCCTCAGCCTGTCTTCATAGGGGAGATGCTCTAGTCCTCTTACCAACTTTGTGGCCTCCTCTGGCCTTGCTCCAACAGTTCCATGTCCTTCTTATGTTGAGGACACCAGAACTGCACACAGTATTCCAGGTGGGGTCTCACGAGAGCAGAGTAGAGGGGGAGACTCACCTCTTTTGACCTGCTGCCCACAGTCCTTTTGTTGCAGCCCAGGATTCAATCTGCTTTCTGAGCTGCTAGTGCACACTCCTGGCTCATGGTGAGCTTCTCATCCACTGGCACTACACAAGTACAGGGTAGCTGTCAGTGTTGTTTGTATTTTACTGCGTTTATGCTTATTTTCATATAAGTGTATAGACATGAGTATAAGCATTTTTGTATCTGGACAAGTTTTGTATCTCCAAGTTTTTATGTTTGGAATTTGTTCTTTATCTTGAATCTTCAATAATGACTGTGGTCTGGAACATCATGAGAACACACACTGTAATGTCATTTGTTCATGGGTTTATGTACAACTCGTGCACTGAAGGCAGTGAGTTTCATGTAAATATTATAGGTGGGGTTGAGGTTGCCTTACATCTGCAGTTAGAACACGTTAGCATTTAAAATTATTAAAAGCTCTTCCAGATTTCAACTATTTGAGTACAGATGTTCAATTCATGACTCAGGATAGATCTTTTTTTAATTCATTTTAAGCTTCGCCCAGAACAGTTCAGCTGCTGCAGGAGATAAGGTTATGGGAAAATTAGGTTTTAAAATATATAAAAACAATGTAAAGGGACCTTTTATTTGAATTTCCCAATAAAATAGCAGGTAAAAGTTTTAAGGGGTCTGCTTGTATTTTCTAGTGTTGACCAAATTGTGCTTTCATCATCCCTTTGAGTAAAAAACCTCATTGTATGAGCATTGATTTAATAAGTTGTGCTCAGTGTTGTCAAAATCACAACTGAAGCCCAGGAATGGGGCCTGAAAGCAAGGTCATCTGTCTGATTTATTCTCAATAATCTGTTTGCCAATCTCAGCTGCTGTCCAGGAAGAAACACTGATTCAGTGCTGGAGTGTAAAAGTAAACTTGGGTTAGACACTGGAAGAGCTGCCAAAAAAGAGTAGGATTATGTACCTTTGAAGCAGAGAGAGCCTAAAACCAGCTATGATGCAGTAAGAGAAGGGGAAGAGACCTGCAGAGCCATTGAAGATGCTAGAAGTGAACATGGGCCCATAGACAAGGTGTCAGAGAGAATACATAGCAGGTACCTGTAAGAGCACAAACGCTACAGTAATTGTCTTTGTGGAGGGTTTGAGTTTCCTAAGGCATTGTTTTGGTACAGAAAGCATGGGGTAAAAACTGGGAACTGGAGAGGAGAGACCCCAAAATGCAGGACATATTCTGCTTTGTGCCACCTGGAAGACAGAGCTCTTAGTGAAAGCAGATTGTAATTGGCAGGGAACTAAGTCTTGTGAAAGATAGACCTAAGGCCATGAATGAGTGGTTGTCAGCTGGGTTTGAGTTTTATAACTCTTGTTTTATCTTATCTAGTTTTTAACTGACCTGATGATGCTGATCCAGCTGATTATGAGGGGATGTATATATATCTAGTCTCAAATGACAATGCACCTTCAGCTTAATTTTAAACAAAGCATGACAAAACTGCAGGAAGGACAAAGTTGCTTTTATTTTTAAAGCAATTTCTTACAGCTTTGCAAAGGCATTAGGACTTCATAAAAAAAACCCAAACCACAACAACAACCAAACAAACACAAAACTTTACCAGAAAGTTACATGCATTCCAGAATCCCCCACAGCTTTTCCTGCACCTGAAGGCAATTGCCAGATCAAGATTTCTGCACTGAAGGCAGCACTGCAGGGTGATCTTGCTTTGAAGGTGCTCTATTTTTGCTGGTGTTCTCAGCTATACTTTACATATCTTTTACAGATGGGACATTGTAGCTCCCAGCCCAGATGTTTGTATGGCATTATCTTCATGCTAACAGGGAAATAATGGACAGGAGCACTAGAGCTTGGGCAGGTGCTAGAGCTTTAGGAAGAAATTCTTCCCTGTCAGGATGCTGAGACACTGGAACAGGTTGTTCAAAGAATTTGTAAGACACCCCATCCCTGGAGGTGTTCAAGGCCAGGTTGGATGAGGCTCTGAGCAACCTGGTCTAGTGCATGGTGTCCCTGGCCATGGCAGGGTGTTTGAAACTAGATGATCTTTAAGGTCCTTTCCAAGCCATTCTGTGGTTCTGTGATTTGTCAGTATCAGAGCACAAACCAAAATACAGAAATACAAAGGAGCTTTCTCTAGTTCTTAGCTTCTCAGTCCCAAAGTCAAATAAGAACATCCTTATCTTCAGGTAATTGTTTTTATCTATCATGCCCAGAAATAAGGTGGGTTTGGTTGTTTGTTGGTTTGGATTTTTTTTTTGCTTTGGCCACATTCTTTTTTCATTTTTTTCTAATATGACTCATTTTGGTTGTGCAAGTTGCCTGTAGTAGCCAGTCATAACTGCTTTCAGTGGGAATTTTAGAGAGTATATATCAGTGCATTGTCCATTGCACCTGAGGAACAATCTTGTCCATTTACATTTCAGGACATTTTTTGTTGTTGTTTGGTTTGTGGTCTTTTCCTAAAGAGTACTTTTTTGAGGAATACACAAGCACTTTAAGTAAAAATCAGACAGTGCCACGTGACAACTCTTATGAGTCTGTGATGTGGGTCTGTACTTCACAAAGCGTAGCTGGTTTATCAGTGCTCCACTCTACTTCCTTGTAATTTAAAACAAAACCTCTTAATTAGAAATAAAAAAGGGAAAACACTTTGAATCTGTTAAATCATCACAGTCCTGGCTTTTTACCCCCTTGCTATTGAGATACCTGGCTGCAGATCTGCAAGTGCTGTTCCATGTCACAGTGTCTTATAAAGTAGAAGTATCTGTTTTATTGCTCTGGTTTGTAATTTGTTAAAGTAAACACAAATTTCTGGAGTTTAGAAATTTGACATGCACCTTTCTGTTTCTTCATATTTTAAATAGATTTCTTTAATGTGTTCTGTTTCCAGAGAGAGTGCAGAAGGAGGAAGAGTGATTGTAGAAGTTGGTGACAAAGTGGCAAAAGTCAGAAAGGTATGCTTTTTGTCATCTTTTTCTTATATAAGGATCCTGATATTCTGATGCTCTTCTAGATTTGCTTGGCTATTGGATCATTGTAATAGAAATATTAAGGGAGAAGTTTAAACTGATACAAGTCAAGAATAATTGCAGCAAATAATTACAGTTTATGTCTCTATATTTGTCAAAGCTTCTGTAGTCTGGCTGCCTGCCATCATTCAGTGCTGTTAGTAAATTGTTTAGGATGGTGTGCTTATCTTCCTGTTACTAACATCTGGATAATTTCTGTCCCTGTGTCTCTTCTCCTCTCATATTTGCACTCAGAGTGCAACTGATTTGCATGAAATGGAGCAAAATGTGTTGAGCTACACTTCAGGCCTTGGTAAAAGACCAAGAGCTATAAGAATAAACTGAATGTAACCATTGTCCTCCATGAGAGCTCTGGAACCAGTGTAGATGGGAACTAGCCCTCTCGTTTAGACTCTTGAACTGCTTAAAGCTGCCACAGTCCTTGAATAAATTAGTAGAATGGGAGCAAAACCATTCTATATTGTCAAATATGTTTCTGCTCAAAAATCAAATAAATGAACTGTAAGATTACTGTGGGGATCCTGGAAGATGGTTGCCTTTTGCATGTCTTGTCTCCTTTTTCTTTGTATCTTCAATGCAACCCAGTTACTCCAGATTGCTGGTTCAAGAGAAATAATATACTAGGTTTTGAAGAGAAACTTCAGCAAAAATTGAATTAAAGGATTTGAACTATTTGCCTTTTTCAAACAGAAATATTTTGTATTCATTACAGGTGCTTTTTCATAGAAAGAAGAGGGGAAAATATTAGGGGTCTGAGAGGTCTTGTGGATGTAAAATGTTGCTTATTTTCTGTATATTTTCTTTTCAAAGGCTGTGTTTGCAGATCCTGAGATACACTACTTTCTGAAATATTTTTCCCCAATTTCTTATACGTGTAATAAAGCTCTTGAAGAGACATATGGCCTCCAGGAATGACACTGTGTTCTGGTGCTTGGCGTGGGAAGGCTTTAGTCCCCACCACATGGCTGTGAGGGTTGGGGCATGGGAGGCTGTCTGCCCCTCGGGGGGAGCATATCCCCACAGGTGGAGGCCCTGGTCCTGCAGCTGCCTGACTGTTAGACACAGAGGTTTCTGTATTTCATTTGTTTAAAGAGAAGCTGTGGGCTGCCTTGGCATGCTGGGGAAACCTCATCAGCGAGGTGGATTGCTCTTAGCACACCAAGGAGAGTTGTTTGGAGATACAGGGGTTGACTTGTGGGTGTCACCTCTCCTGAGGTTTTGTAATTGGTGAGGAGTTTGCTTTATGCATAAACTAAATTTAAACAGCCTTTGATGAATCCCAGTTAGAATGTAAATTATTATTTATACATCTGTGATCACAATGCTCTATAAATACAATGTCTGGGGTGGGTGCACTTCCTAGTTAAGAACTAGCACCCTTTCAGCAGAAGAAATAATCAACTCTGTGGGCAGGGACTGCTTGTCCTGAGGTGGAGGGGTAGGGATTTTTGGTTTGGTTTGGTTTTTTGCACATTGCAATAGGAAGACAGTGCTCCAAGCTGTATTCTGCTTATTGCTGCAGAAAATCTAAGAAAATAAAAGATAACAGCATAAAAATCTCTGAATCATGACATATTGAAAATGTTATTGTAGAATATGATCAATAGGCTCGTTAGGATGTTAATTCTGACTAAAGGAATTGGTTGTACTTAATTCAACTTTAGAATCATTCAGGGTTTAAAACACACAGGCCACCTTTACTTCAAAGATGATTTAAAACTATTTATGTACTCTCTTGCTTTCCTCTTTCTTGGTTTAAAAAAGCACAAGCCTGTCAAATGGACCTTTAAATTAATTTTCCCTGTAAGCCTCACCGCTGGTGTCAGATTTCAGTGTTACAGCATACTATATCCATTCATCTGGCAGACAGCAGTGTCATCCCTGGTTTTTGGGACTGTTAGTAAAGAGATTTGGCTACCAAGTTATAACAAACTTTTTTTTTCTTCATATGTTATTATGAATGTCAGGGTTATAATAAAGTTACCAATTAGATCAAAATTACATACAGGTGGTGTTAATTATGTGTAATGTTTTGACTCATTACTCTCCTCCTTTGAGTAGATCAACAATGCATGTTAACAAGTTCATAATGCAAGTTCATAATGAAAGTTCATAACCTTGTTCATAAGTTTATCTGTTTTATTACAGATCACTTGGGCAAGATTCTACAGAAAGACTTATATGATTCCCTTAATATTAGACATAATTTCTGACTATTGTGCTAGAAAGGCTTTGCTGTCATTGTTACTAACTCATAAAGGTTGGATTTGGACTGCACAGTCCCAGTGACAGAAGCATTAGCTTGCAACCATGACAAAGCAAAGGAGAAATAAGGGAGTGATCTACTTTTTCAACTATGCAGTGAGAAAATTCTTTTTTGTCTTCTCATTTCTGTGATGTGAGTCTCACTGAAACAGAAGCATGACAGAAATACCAAAAGGGTTTTAAAGCTTTCCTGCCAATGCATAGAATTTGTGAAGATTAAATTGTTTATTGTATACATCTTGGAAAATGTTAGCTGTAGTAAATGAACCTTTCAGTAGAAATGCTTCAGCAGGTCTGTCATGGATCTCTCTGCTTCACTCTAAGCATCAAAGAAAACTGAATAAAGAGGTTAAACTATTTGCCATTCCTTTTCCACAGTACAGATCCTAGAGAAACTTCCTGGTAGTTTGAAAATGTTTGCTTTTTTGTCAGCTTCAGAGTGAATTGGTCTTTCTGTCTTTTTCCTTTTATTGTCAGGTTGACAGTAGGTTTGATAGCACTTGGGACTCAAGAGAACAAACTGTGGCCTTCAGCTTTGATTACTGCTACTGGTCAGTTGATCCTGAAGATCCAAATTATGCATCTCAGGAAATGGTGAGTGATGCTGTTCTTCATGTCTGTGTTCTGATCCCATGTTTTACTTTATAATCACACCTACAGGAAGAGATCAAGATGTAGGATGCATAAAATTTCATTTTCTTTTCTGCCCCATCTTTTTCTTATTTCATTTGTTGTACCACAGTACTCAGTCCTTTGGTATTAAGTAGGTGCAGCAGGA